GCTCAAACAAACGCTAGCTGATAACATCCCAAGCAAGGAATCAGAGGACAGGGCACCTGCAGGAGAAGCTGTTATCTGCTGCCTCGGTCCCAGCTTGCCAGGAATTTGCAAACAGACAGCAACCCTCCTTGGGCTCAGTCCAGTGTTCCCTGCTCTTAGGACATCAGGCTTTAGTCTTAAATCTATATCTCTACACTTTCCTTCTTTCTTTCTTTTTTTGAGACAGGATCTCTCTCTCTCTCTCTCTCTCTCTCTCTCTCTCTCTCTCTCTCTCTCTCTCTCTCTCTAGTTCAGACTGGCCTTCAGTTCACTTTGTAGCCCAGGTTGGCCTTGAACTCACTGCAACCTTCATGCCTCAGCCTTCCCAGTGCTGGGATTACAGGTATGTGCTACCACAACTGGCCTTTTTTTCTGCATTCTTTGTGGTGAATATTCTGTATCACCATTAATCAGCTTCTATCCCTCAATAAGAGGCCCTATCTCAGGGTGGGGATATAGCTCAGTGGCACAAACACTTTCCTGTCCAGTGCAAGGTCCTGAGTTGAATTCCAGACTTTTTTTAAAAAGCCCCTATCTTGCTTCTCTTGCATCCTTCTCATATTCCATACTCTCAAATATTCTTGTCCTCCCTGCCCACCACAAATGAAAGCTGTGCAGTTGGGGTGCCTGAGGTTTCACATCACACAACCCTGGGGGCTATCCAGTGAGCATTCCTAGGGCATGCTGGGACCTGGACTTTTTCAGAGTAACTCCATCTTAATGTCTATCCAGGTCTGTCTTCCTTAGCCTTTGGTTTTATTCCCAAAAGGATCTGGTTTACATATGTATAAAGAAGATCTGATTAAGTAATAAAGTTGATTATATGTGGTGAGGAAAAATGAGGGGAAAAGACTTTACTTTGTTTCTTGCCTTCCTGTCAAGATTCCAAGAAATAAAAGAAAATTTATTCCTAGAACAAAAATTTCTTTTATCGGCCAACATTTCCTTCAAGGGTTTCCTTAAGCCTCAGGAAGGCAAGTGACAGTTCTGGTAGACTGAGCCCACTGGGGCAGAGGGATCTGGCTTGTTATAATGGTTTTTGGGCTTGATGTTACTGTGAATCCTCAACTGTTATGTCCTTTGGGCCACCAGCGATAACCTCTTTTGTGTGACTTCCCAGCCTTGCCATCTATCTGCCACATCCCTTCTCAAGTGACCTTTTGCTCTCTCAGCCCATTACCAGGACACTTGATAAACTTTCACTTTCTTTTCTCACTATTTTCCTCCCCTTAAAACATGGGACCGTCACCCACACTCCTATACACTGCAGAACAAGCAGGCCAGGTTTTATGGTAGGAGCTTTAAACACACGGTCTTCATTTATCAACAACATCCCCATATGGCTGCTGCCACTATCCTCATCTTCTAATTCAGGAAATAACAATGGAGACATTCAGACAGAGGTGAATGTTAACCAAAATATGACAAAGTCAAGTTTCAGTTGATAGGAACAAGGAAATCTCAGTACTGTGGTCCCAGCAACAATTGTGAGACCATTGAAGGTCTAGGATGGAATAAAAAAAGAAGGGACAGGTGAAAAAAGAACAAACAACTTTTGTCTATATTTTAAAGAACTTAGTGTTGAATAGCTGGTGGGAGTCATGCTGCCTTGGGTGAGGGCATAAAGTTGTTCTTGAGTGGAACACCTCTGCCTGAAAAGAAAATTAGTTTAGCTCTGAGAAGCAAAAATATAGTAGAAAAAAAAAAAGGAAAATAAGAAGAGAACTCACTGAGGAACAGAAACAAGAAATTAAAGATGCTTTTGAAATATTTTATGCAGACAAAGGTGAAGCAATAGATTACCATGAACTAAAGGTGGGAATGAGAGCCTTGGGGTTTGATGAAAGAAAGAAAGAAAGAAGAAAGAAAGAAAGAAAGAAAGAAAGAAAGAAAGAAAGAAAGAAAGAAAGAAAGAAAGAAAGAAAGAAAGGACGTGCTGAAGATTCTTAAAGATTATGACAGAAGCCACAGGGAAAATCACCTTTGAAGACTTTAATGAAGTTGTGACAGATGGAATATTGACTATGATGTGTTGTGGAGGTGTTATTTTCTGATCATAGCTATTTAGAGTTCTATGTGCTTTCCTTATGTGTACATTAAATTCTTTCCCCCACACTTGGAAACTGTTCTGCTATTATTTCATTGAACAGGAATTTTATGCTACTGTTATCTTCTGACTTTTCACTAATTCCAATTTTTAGATTAGTCTTCTTTGCATCATCTGGCAGTTTTGGGTCCATTCTTTAATGCTTTTGGTTGTTTTTAAAGCATCTTTCATGAATCCAACAGAAACAACAGCCCTGTCTTCAAGGTCAAATACTCTGAACTCAAATTGATCACTTCTGCTTTCCATATTTCTGATAGAACTTTCAATTTCCCAAATTTTTATTTGGAGCCTTCTTATTGAGTCTAATTCTTTTCTGTGATGGTTTGTGTTACTTTTCTCTCACTGCTGAGACAAAATACCTGAGACTCAATGTTAAAGGAGGAAAGGTTTAGTCACAGTCTGTAGAGGTTTCAGTCCATAATCAGTTAGCTCCAGGGCAGTGACACATGGCAGAAGGGGCAATGACTGCTAGTGGCAGAAGACAGTAAAAGCAACAAAAGGGGCAGACAAGATGTTTTCTAATATTGTATGTAGACTACCAGCCCTAGGGCAGGTGTAGTACTCACACCCTTAATCCCAACATCGCATACTCTAGATTCAGCCACCTTTGAAAAACCCCTAGGACCACGTGAGACTTTTGGGGACATCTAGACAAGAACCATAGCACTAGTATGTTGGATTAACTAATGGTTAATTTGTACCATCCAGATGAATTAAATTAGCATGGTGCTGGTGTGGGTGCCTCACCTGAGGACTATTGCCAACAGCATAAGAAGAAAATTGGAGAGGAAACTCGTTTGCTATTGGTTCTTCTGGAGGAGCTTGTTGGGCTGGCTGTCCTGATATGAACTCAGCTGTTTTCATCATCAGAGGAGCTCAGGTCCTTGCTGTGGCTGTGGATGGCTGCAGGTCTCTTTGGGGAACTTTGGTCCTTCCTGTGAGCTTGTAATGTTGATACACTGTGCTAACTTGAGAAGTCTATAAGCTTAACTAACTCAGCAGTTCTGCATCCACTTGGGTGAGGGCATAAACTTACTCCTTTATGTGTCAATTTGAAAAACTGAAAAGTTTAATTAGGTGACTTAGCAGGAGGCCACAATCCTTGCTTTGTAAATGTCCTACACCCGTGCAAGTGGAGGGCACAGAGATTGTGTGAGCACCACATCCAACATAGGGCAGGTAACCTGCATGCAATATAGGGGAAAAAAGTCTTGTTCTCCCTCTTTTGTTCTTGCTGATTTTGCTGTCTTCTGTCACATGGAACAGTTTCCCCTAACCATGCCATCCTGCCTTGGAGCCAGCTGCTTATGGACTGAAATTTCCACAAATCGTAAACTAAATGATCCTTTCTTTCCTTACCTTTGGGTGTTGGGTATTTTTGTCCCAGCAAAGAGTAAAGGAATTAACACCAGCATTGCTTCCTGGCTCAAGTGCAGCTCCCTCAGCTTGCTGGCACAGATCTCTCATCTTGGTGGCACAGGATTTCTAGCTGCCACCACTGACTTTTGGGTCTTTGCAGTGCAGATCTTTGATACAGGCTTGCATGAGACATTGCCAAGGGCTCTCGGCCTGCAGTTGGACTTGTGGAGGACATTGCTATGGACTCTATTAGCTGTACTTTTGCGGGACACTGCCATGGGATCTAGGCCCTCCCCTGGGTTCTTTGGGTCTTTACTGTATGGAGCAATCTCCTGCACATTTTTCATCTGACTCTCTAAATGAATATTATAAAATAGTTCCATAAATTATGTGTCCTGTATTAAAATATTTCCCTTGCAAACCCACCTACAAGTGGTCATACATGTTTTGTATTGTTTTGTTTAGCTGTAACTTTTTTTAGTGTCTTCTTGAGACTCTCAGATCATTTTTTTGTTTTCTATGTATTTGGTACAGGGTCTCACTATGAAGAATTTGGGTGTATGGCTTTATGTTTCCTTCTTTTTAATGCCACATGGATCAGCTTTGGGGGACTTGGGAATTTTTGTAGACTTTTTTAAATCTTTCATTTATTTATTTAGTACAGGGCCTCATTATGCAGCTCAGACTCGTAGTTATCCTCCTGTCTCAGCCTCCCAGAGGTGGGATTACAGGTGTCCACCACCACACCCACTTTCAATGGCTGGCCCATTGCGTCCAGGGTTCCAAGTCAGAATGGCATGTGGTACCAGGGATCAAATCTGGTTCCTTATAATTGCCAGGCAGGTGCTCAGACCACCAAGATATCTCCCTGGACCTGACAACATTTTCTTGTCTTCTCATGTTTCTATTTTTTTTTTTTGAGGGGTGAGGGTTGTGTTGAGGCTTTCAGACTGATCATAGTTGAAAGCTTTGTTTCTAATATACAGACTTCTTTAACGCCTGCTTTTCAATGATTTCCTCTGGATGTAGCTAACTCTTAGTGTTTGGCTATTGTAAGAAAAAACTACCTCAGTTTACTTGAGATAGGAAGTTACAGGTTTCCAGGAACAAGCCACAGCATGGGTAATGCCCCAAGGTAATCCAGACATTGGTATCCCAAGGAGATCAATTAATACCAACAGCTATGTCACCTTGGATACAGTAATAATATCTAATACAAACTACATACTGACAAACCCTAAGGACAAATAAAGTATAACCATAAAAAAGAGACACCAGATTTTTAACCATAAAAAAGAGATCTGCAATTATACCATGAATATTAAGATAAACCAAAGATCTACTTTATAGAAAAGCCTTGTTAACAACAGAAGAGTACTCAACAGCAATAAAGTAAACTATCTAGAGATTCAAGGGTTTCGTAGTTATACTAAAAGTAATACTAACTAGTTTAGGTATACTACTAAAGGTATTATAATTAGCAAAGACAGAGACAAATTTTAAGCAAAATTTAGAAAATTAATCAGTGTGGAAACAGTGAGCTTTGGGGTTGAGGGCATGGGTCTGTCAGATGGTCACACTGTTTTCCACCTTGCTCGGTTGAAGGTAGTCATAGGGTAAGTCCAGGCGTGCATTCCGGTCCTCAATCTCTTTGTCCATGGTAGTCAGCTCCTCTCGGAATTGCTTCAGCACTTCCTGGGGCTTAAGACCCGAGAAATATTCCTCCGTATGCTGCCCCAGGGACACCTGGAGTGGGGCAAGACAGCTCAGCATTTCAGGCTTCTCAGTCAGGAATGCTGCTCCAAGCAGCACCGCCAGCCCCCCACCCTGCCACCCTCTGCGATCTAGACGGCTGCTTCTAACCATCACAGGTTGGTGTCTGCCAAGGAAGTTGGTGACAGTCTGCTGCATACGGGCTTGCTGGAGACTAGGCAGTGAGTCCACTACGTCCTTCTCGGTCACATCCTTAGAGGTGGGTGGCGGTTTCCGCATGGTACAAGGGCCATTAGGGACCCAGGAGTACCAGTCCAGCTATAGATAGGACAGGGACACAGAGCCCCAAGTTATAGCTCAAACATTTAGAGACCCCCACCCCATCTTCTATAGCCCAGTAGCCAGGGAACATAGGTTACCTGGCCCAGGTGGGCAGAAGAATGCTGACCAGTACACGTGAAGATGCACATGGTAACAAAATGACAGAGCTGATCCCGGGACTCTAAGCAGAGGGGGAACCTGGATGAAGTGGGGAGAATGAGAAATCTTGAGGCCAGGACCAGAGACAGATCTAGAGCAGGGACAGGCATCTGGGGATATGTGAAAGAACTAGAAGTGCTCCTGGTCTCTAGCTTCTGTCACCCACACATAGTGTGCACTCAAATCTTAATGAACCTGGGAGCTCTAGGGAAAGGACAGGAACAAGGAAGGGAAAATAACTAAGAGAAATCATGCATTTGACTCCAGAGAAAGCATATAGTGCATGAGGAGGGACAACACTGCACGAGAAGATGAGAAAGAGAGCCAGAGAGATCAGGAGTGACTGCTGGGATTTCCAGGAACTCTGGAGGATCAAAGAACAGGTGACATTACAAACATGTGTAACGCTGCAGGAAAGGTGGATTGCGGACAGTGTGTGGAGACAAGGCAACGGTGGGGGATCCATGCCTTACCCTCGGTCCTGGGCCCCCTGCAGTCCAACCTCAGTGACTTCTCTACACCATGTCTGCAGCTCTGGGTCCTGCTTCACAGCTTCATCACTCTTGTAGAAAAGCCCAACCATCCCTTTCACATACCTGTTCCCCAGGGAAGAAGGAGCTCAGGTTCAGGTAGCCGGTGTGGAACCTCCCGTGCCCCGCAGTCTGTCCCTCTCCACGTCACCCTCACCGATTGATGATTTCCCAGAGCCTGAAGGCATCTTGGCCATAGAGAGAAGATTTCACATCTAGGAGCCCACGGTCAGCCAGATCATCAGGAGGACAGAAGGAACGATATGTCAAACAAGCTGTGGCTCTCTGGAGAATGACCACATGGGCACCCCTGCCTGTACTCACCACCTGAGAACAAAGCAAGGTTGGCCAGGCCAGGCCAGCAACAGACAGACAGACACACAGATACAATGACAGAGAGAGAATAGAACCAGGAGGTTATTCAGTTATAGAGTAGATCATTGTGAGGCCTCTGGTAGATGCAGCAGCACTTAGGGGAGGACTGGGTACAGGAAAGCTCCCCTGGAAGTCTAACTCTGAGCCCTCCTCCCTGTTCATCATCCCTTTTTCATACCAGATCAAAAATTCCGTATTCAGAGACGAGGTTATTCCGGGCCAAGGTGTTGATATCCATGGTATAGCGAAAGTGGGGGATCAGGAGCTGATTGTGAGGAAAAGGAATGGAGCACCTATAAGAGCCCCCAGACTGAAAAGTGGGAGCACAAATGAAAGGTTCTTTCCTTTAAGAAGGAAAATGGAGAGGCTGAGTCTTGGTGAGAGACAAGACTTGGAAGAGACAGCAGGACAAATATTTCTTTGGCTCTCCCAAGATCAAAGCTTTAGGAGTCCACTAATTTGCAGTCTCATACTGTTCCTCAGAATTACAGGAATGTCTGATCTCACATCACACACTCTAGCAGGCTCTCCACACTTCCCCCTTCGTCTTCCCTAGCACTTCACCCCACAACACACACCACACAAACATGCTCAATGTTGGATTCGCTATAAAAGGAAACCTTCCCTGACCCACCCCTCTCCACAGCCTCCTCTCAATTCCCCTTTCCACAAAGTCTTTGCAGCCTTAGCGTGACCTTAGCCTCCTCACTACAGATTCTGTTCAGTCCACACCAAACAGGCTTGCAGTGCTGCCCCTTCCTCCAGAGAGCACATGCCAGTGTATTCCCCAGTGCCTTCCACACTACCACATCCTGCCTGCCTTTCTCTGTAACTCTGCGACACCTATCCTCAGCACTAGAGACAGACAACTGCCTGCTCTGAAGAGCTTTCTTCTCCTGGCTGCCAGGAATCATGCTGGTTTGTTTGCTGTAACCTCAGTGGATATCTTTTCTCATGCTTTTTCTTGCTCCAGTTTCTGTTCAATTTTTTAAGAAAAAATTTTTGGTCAGGGAGATAGTTCAGTGGCATAAGCACCTGCCTGACAAGTGCA